TAACCCTGTCTGCCTCAGTTTCCTCATCTGTCAAATGAGCTAGAGAAAGAAATGGCAAACCACTTCAGTATCTTTGCCAAGAAAACCCCAAATAGGGTCACATAGAGTTGACAGCAATAAAACAACTGAACAACAACTAAACTATTATCTTACCAAAAAGTAGAGGATGAAACCATTGAAGGATTTCTCCAAATCTGGATTGGCCCACTTCTCCACTTCTACCACAGTGGCCTTCTCAAGCCAACAGGGTCTTTATAGCTCTTCCCCAGAATTTCTATTTAAGGAAGAACCGGACATGTGCTAATAAATGTTTAAACCCAGAAAAGACAGGACCCACTTTTAAATATAATCTTCATTATTAACATTTTCTCCTCTAAACTCTTCCTCTGACTGGTGACCTCTTCCCTAGAATATCTAATTGAGGAAGGACCAAACACCTGCTAGTAATTATCCTACCCACTTAAAAGTAATTACCTTTGTTAGGTAAGAACACCTGTTGATTGAATCAATCAATCTGGAAGCCTAGGGTGAATGGGATCTGAAATTTATATAAAAGGAAGGAGCTTTTTTTTTTTCTTTGAACCACAGAAAGATTATGAGTGTCTGAAAGTAGAGAGACTGATACAACTGTGGGGTAAGGAAACTGTGAGTAAGGTAAGACTGAACTGAAATGAGATTTCCCTTCTCCTACCATCTTACTCTACCCAAAGAGATAGCCAATAAATATTAAAAAAAAAAAAAGAGGAAAAGAAATCAAAAGTGAGCAACACGTTAAAAAAAAACACACACTTGATATTATATACAATGTTCTAACACCCTTGGAAAGGATTAGGGAGAGGTGTTTTCTCTTGTTTTTTCTTTGAGACCAAGCTTTTTTCTTCATAATTTCACATTTAGTTTTTACTGGTTTGTAATTTGTTCTTTCTCATTGACATTGTTATAGTCACTATATTGTTTTCCTATCTATACTTACTTCACTTTGCATCAGTTCATGTAAGTCTTTCCTTGATTCTCTGTATTTGGTCAGTCATCAAGCATTTTTCAAGTGTCTAGTATGTGCCAGGCACTATGCTAAGTGCTGGGGATACAAAAAGAGGCAAAAATATTACAGTCTTGTATCTCAATTTGTTTAGCCATTCCCCAATCAAAGGACATCTATTTTGTTGTCATTTCTTTACTACCACAAAAAAAAAAAAACCTGCTGCTATAAAGATTTTGATATATATGGGCACTCTGTTTTTGTTGATGACCTCCTTGGGATATATGACCAATAGTGGCATCTCTAGGTCAACAGGTATGGACATTTTAGCTACTTTGTTTACACAAATAGCTTTGCCAACTATAGATTAATGTGTCTGCCTTTCCCCAATCTCCTCAACATTAACTATTCAATTCTTCTGTCAAATCTCTGACAATTTGCTGGGTGTGAGGTGAAACCTCAAGATTGTTTTGATTTTCATTTTTCTTATTAATGATTTGGAGCATTCTTTCATATGGTTAATAGTTTGTAACTGGCCTTTTGAGATCTGTTTTTTCATAACCTTTGACTAACCATTGTTCTTCTATAATATTCTTATGTATTAGTCTGTCCATTTGTTCTTTGGCATTAATGAACAGGCAAGATATTGACTGTTCGTTATCAGAGCATTTAAGATATGTGAGACTCTGAAAGTGACTCAATTGCAAATTTAGATGGGATTTGAACAAGATAGAGTATGTCTATTTCAACATAACTGTAAAAGATCCAGTCTGTTCACTGAATGATAGAGTAAAGCAGGTAAGGTCATATAGGACAGTCAAATTTTATAGCCTCTAAAATGTGCAAGAAATTTTCACTGACATTGCTTGGAGTTGGTCACAATTATCTAAGAATAGAATTTGTTCCTGTCTATAATTAACTTTTGCATGAGGTTCTTTTGTTAAGAATGTGTGATTTGTAGTCCTGCTTAAGACCACCTTTGCATTTGATGTATGATGACAAGAATAAGAAAGATGATGCAATTACAAGAAAGGGCAGTGGGTTATAGAGTTCAGAAGAAAGATGAGATTAGTATTAATTGAATTGAGGAGTATATTTTCGGGTCAGAAAGAGATGGTGCACATAGAAGATTCCTTGTTTTGGGGGGAGCTGCCTTTTGTTTTCAAAAGAAAATATTTTTAAAGCACCTATTAGCAACCTACACTCTCTGGGAACTTAAACTCATGCCTTCAACTCATCCTGTATTTCCCCAATCCTCTTCTCTTCCTAAGCCTCTTAAAGTCAGCAAGGCTTTCTTATCTGGATGTTGCTTTTACAAGAGACTATAATTTTCATGAAGGTTTTATGACATATATTCACAATTTGTGGCATACACAGTCAGGAAGACCTGGCAGGCAACTTGCCTCATCTTTGCTCTCTATCTTGGGGTGTGTGATCCTAGGCAAGTCACTACCCTCTTTGCCTCAGTTCTTCCATTTGTAAAATGAACTGGGGAAGGAAACAGCCAAACGCTCCAAATGGGGTCACAAAGAGTTGGACATGACTAAAAAATTACACAGCAGCAAAATCAGGGAGGCTCCATTCTTAGCCTTTTTTCTCCCCACCATTGTTTTCAAAACCTCTTTAATCACTTTGCCTTCCAGTGCTTCCCTTCCCCCTCGAGTTGTGAGACCACAATGAAATAATCTTGCCTTTCTTCCTATGTTGCAGCTTTCTATTAAGATGATGTAAACTCCTGGACGTCAGGGGTTGCTTTTTTGTGTCTGTATCCACCAAGCTTAGCACAGAGTTAGCACTTAGTAAATGCTCATCCATTCATTCAAAACAGGCTAAGTTCTTTCTTTGACACGTACTAGCTCAGTGGTCAGGGACAAATCACTTAAACTTGCTGTGTGCCTGGCAACTTTTTAAGACTGTCAGTTACCTCCACTTTTCAAGACACCTCATTGGAATTTCCTTACACTAATGAAATCACAAGTCAGGATCCAAATTTTAAAAAATCTTCACTCTAACTCAAAAACCTGGATTATCTAGGTTACACACCACACATGTGTACATATACATGTACACACATGTATACATACATATATGTATATATGATTCATTAACTTCCCATCCGAAATTTTTAAAAACTTAAATCTGTGTCCCCAAAACAGCACACTGAATTTTTTTTTTAATTCAAAGTGTTCAAACTGACTTATAGTTGAAGAAGAGAGAAAATAATTCTAAATGGCTTGGTATCATTTTCATCAATCAGAAACTTCCCTGATTCTTTTGTCCAAAATGCCAAAACCTGAGCTTCCATGAGTAATGGTTTGAAGGAGTAGTTACTGAGAAGGTAATGTGGTATAGTAGACAGCATACAGGGTTTAGAGTTAAGAAGACTTGAGTTATTTTTCCAATATGCAATAATAAAGATAATTTAAATTCGTAAGATAGCAGCATTTACCTTAGAAAAACAGGCCAATCTCATCAGTGCCAGTAACCTCAATAAATAAAACAGCATAAAACGAATAGTGTGTCCCATGAGCATTTCATTAATGGAATGGAAGTCCTAAGAAAAGGAACATGTTTACCTTAGTTATCTGAATATCGAATCCATCCAGGAGATAACTTTTTGTATGGGAAAATAAATATTTAAGTTGGCACCTACAACTCTATGTAAACTTGGCTACAAATTAGCATGATTGGAAACTGAAAATTAAGTCAATAACAACAGACATATAGATCAAAATGCAGGACACCCAGTTCTTTCAAATGGAAATAAGAGAAGAATAAAGTGTCAACCTAGCTTACAAAAACCTTCAAGGCCACAGGCGATCTTGTATCTCAAGCATGACCTAAAACTGGATCAGAGATAAAACAGCCTGTGCCTCCACCGCGGCTGCGGGTACAAAAGTCCAAAGTTCATTTCATAAGCTTCCTTAGCCTCTGGCCCCTATCGCTCACAGTCACAGCTCTAGTAATCTGCATTTCTTAGAGAAATCCCAGGTCAGGAGCCCTTTCTAGATCCTCTCCATTTCATAGCAAGGCTGTTCCCCGGGATCTTATGTGCAGGGAGGAGGAGCTTCCTTCAATGAAAATATCCCACGTCATCTTCTTCTGTCTCAGCACCCGCTAAAAAGGCCACTGGCTTGCTTTCCATGCTGTTTGTCAGCTTCTCGGCAAACACATCTTTATAGACTCATAAAATATGAGCGCTGGAAGGAACCTGAGAAATCTTCCAGCACGGATTACTCACCTGCAGTCTGAGAACTTGTCACACAAACATACGTATGTATACAGGCGCACACACATGTATATATCACGTATACATATACACATATATACATGTATACACACATCTACATGGATATATACACATGTAGATGTGTGTATATACGTATCTGTTTCAGTAAAAAATTAAATATTACTGATTTCCTTTGTAATCCGGTGGATTTTATATTAGGTATTTAAAAATGCTATTGAGGAGTTCATCAGACTGCCCAAAGGGTCTCTGACACACAAAAAGTTAAAAGTTCCGGACCTAGATCAACTCCTTCCCCACCCCTGGTTTTTACAGATGGGAAAACTGAGGCCCAGAGAGGAAAAGGGTCATACAGGTATTTATGCAGCACAGCCTGGTTTCGAGCCGTCCTAGAGTAACCCTCCCTTCTCGAAAACCACGTGTGTTTAGCTGTTTGTATAAATGGAATCTAATCCATAGTTATCGGGGAGGGAGAACTTGATACCTCCTTCAGCTCTCCTTCCCCGCCCCAGCCCCTGCTCCTGCCTGGGCCGAGCTGGATACAGAAAGAGGCTGAAATCGACCAGAGGCTGACACAGAAAGAGGCCGAAATCTACGAGCGCAGCCCCAGCGCGGGGCTCGGAGCTCAGCGGGCATGCTCATTGGCCAGGACCCGCTCGAGGGGCGGGGCTCTGCCGTTGGCCGGCATCATGGGCGGTTCCCACGGAGCGGTGCACGCCCACTCCCTCGTCCGGGAACAAATGAAAAAGGAAAACATCTCGGAAAGTCCCCCGTGGCGCAGTGATGCAAGTGCGTGTAAGGAGACGTGAGGACGCACGCATGCGAAAGAGAAAGCGTGAGTTCCTTGTTTCTTTGCCTTGGTTTCCCCCAATCCAGACTCTTGCTTCTTCTTTCCCCGTTTTCCGCGACCCCGGGTTTGGGGGCAGGCTAGACGCCCCCCGTGGCCAGGAAGCGCGGGTGTCGGGTGGGATCTGGGGTTTGCAGGTGAGCACGGGTTTCCCCCCAGGCGAGTTTGAGATGTGGGGAGACCCAATTCTGCTGTCATTCCTTGAAGAATTAGCGCAGGAAAATATGAGGGACCCCTTGTGTGGAACCTTGCTAAAGCTCAGACGTGATGGTTCTTAAATATTTACAAATAATAAGTGATGCCGCCCAAATAAGAAAGAATTAGCAGAAGCCAGCTTTCTAGACTGGCGGAGTCAGCCCGCCTTAGGAGTGATGTCGAAACCACTTTTTCTTACAACACAGTTTTCAGTTTGCCAGAGTACTCTCAAACTCAGAAAAAACTTAAGTACTCTCTTCTTTAATGGAGGATTCACAGGCAGGGAGAGGTTGTGGAAAGAGGGCTTAACTTGGAAGGAGTCGGTCTCCCTTGGTACTGGCTCTGCAGTCAGGATCTGGGTTCTGATCCTGCCTCTGATTAATTAACCTCCCTGGGTCTCTTTCCTCATTTGTAAAATGGAATTGAACTGGATAGACTTTGAGGTGCCTTCCAGCTCTAGATATATGAGCTTATGATCGGAATTAAAAATTGGGCCACTGACCTATATATTAGTTCAGTTATTTATCCAGAGAGTCTCATGTAAGTCTCTTTAAGACTTACCTACCAAGATAGATAGATGGGTTGGACCAGTAGGTGTAGGAACCCTTCCCTGATGAAATCACAAATCTCTTGTCAATATTTGTATAAGCAAACCTCATTATCTAGAGTGGTGGGGTTGTCTTTCCAGCCATCTAAAATTTAATTTAATTACCAACTTAAAATATTCAAACCAGTTTGAAAGGAAAACTTATTTAAAAACAAAACAAAAGAGGAGTGTAGGCTTCCATGATTGTACTGCCTAAATCTAAATGGTATACAGAACCTAATTCAGCCTTTTCTTGGTGAGCCAATATCAGCATGTTGAAACTCCCAGGAATATTTTGTGCTACAATACTGTGAAACCCTCTGGGCCCTTAACTTGCAAGGATAGGCCTCTTTGTCTCTATACTCATTGACCAACACTGAAGAGGTATCTAGGGCCTTTTTTTATATATATATCTTTGGCAGTTGTTACTTCTCGCTGATGTTAATGTCTTCTGACTTGCCCCTTCTCTTCTGTGACTTGGGAGGAGAAACAGCTCCAGAGTGTAGCTCCTTTTAGGTTTACAAAATGCTTTACACACATGTATCTGTTGCATATATCATACAGGAGGTCCCAAAAGTTGCAGAGAAGTTTTAAGCTTTAAAAGATTAAAATTCAGTAAGATTTTTGGGATGCTGTATATTAGATTCCACAGATATTAGTATTGCCATTTAATGATGAGGAAACAGGTTTGAAGAATATAAGTGACTTGGGTTTAAATGCTTTGAAAACGCATCATGGTTCAGGGAGGCATAAGACATGGGTTTGAATCTTGGTTTTACTTTCTACTCCTTTTCTGCCTGTGTTACATTAACTGCTTTGGGTCTTATTTTCTTCATCTAAAATGAGAGGGACAGAGTATGTGACCCCTGAGGTCCCTGCCAATCCTGTATCCCTAATCCTATGATCTAATAGCTAGTAGTTATTGGAAGAAGGATGGAGCCCAGATCTCCCGTGATTCCACTTCTCGGACCCTTTCCACTCCACCATTAGCTCACAGCTGGAAAGCAATCTTGTTGACATCTGTGCTCAAAGCTTGAGTGACTTCTTAAAGAAATTTGTTGCATTGCTTTTAGCTGCTTAGAGGCCTTTTTTGTTTCTGGGTTCTCACCTGTCACAAATATTGCTGGATAAATGACCTCCTGATGAAATTGAGCATGACCATACACACATACTTTTCAGCATTATTATTGACCAATTTTTAAAAATTGGTGCATTTTGTGTATATGTCTCCTTAGCTTCCAAATTGAGGCTTCACCTCTCCCCACCTCCTCCACCTATCCAGATATCTCTTGTAACATAGCTTGAAAAAAAAAGTTCAGAAAAATCAATCAACATGTCAGTTGTGTCTGATATAGGCAGTGTTCATTGTCCATATTCCCTCATCTTCGACGAAGGGAGCGAAATGCATTTTTCTTTATTTAACATAAATTTTTATTGGTAATTTCTTTTTTTTTTTATTGTGATGGGTGAAAGATGAAATGACTGAGGAAACAAAGGTTCAAGCTTCTGAGCATATTGATTCATTAAGCAATGAATGCCAATTGCCCAACAAATTGGGACCAGTTGCTTTTCTCAACTTTGGCACTGGACCTTGAATACAGGAGGAGACAGACTTTTATATATTAAAAACAATCAAATAAAACTAATTTAAAGAAGACAATCAGGATACGATTTTAGGTAATCTGATTTCTAATTGGAGGAAAAGATTAAAGACTTTCTAAGTTGGGAGGGGGAGAGCGTACAGGTACAATTCCCTGAAATCAGAAGAAGCAGCGTCCTATGTGCCCAGTATTTGTAAATGGTCAAGATAACATGAACGATAATTGCTTAATCAGTATGGGGCCAGTTTTCAGTTAAGACATATGTATGAGTTGTTTGAGATAAACAATTGTGAGAAAGCTTCTTGCATCAAGCTTTGGGGATGACTGGGTTTCCGGTTAACATAACTTGGGTCCTGAGTTAAGAGTCTCTAAGCAGCGGGTAGAGGTAATCCAACTTCTCAGCCACTCAGGGCCAAGTTCAAACAAAAACAAAAGTTTTTCTCCCAATTCCCACAATTGAATATCGAAGATGGACTAGACCCGTAATTGAATAGAAAGGGAACTGAGCTAGCTCCAGAATTGAGTCACAAAATTGAGTCAGTGTGGTTCACTCATTTTCCACAATTAACACTTCTAGCCTAATCCCTTCAATTCCCTCATTATATCATCCACATTTCCTGTAAAATGAAGAATAGAAAGGAAAAAAAAACCCAACAGTTCAGCCCAACTAATACATCAAAAAAATTGTATGCAGTTTCACGCACATAGTACCCCTCAGCAAAGAAGGTGGTGAAGTGACTTCGTATGCTTCTCGTTTGGGCCCAAATTTGGTCTTCACAATCTTACAGTATTCAGTTTACATCAGTGGTGTCAAACTCAAATGGACTATACGTAAGGATCCCTGCAGGCTGCATATCAACTCAAAAAACCACGTATTAACATTATCTAAGTTCTCTTGTATTTTTATTTATTAAATATTTCCCAGTTACATTTTAAATCTGATTGGGGTTACATATGTTTAATACCTCTGGTTTAGATTGTCTTATTCTTTCCATTTGCAGTATTGTAAATTTATATTATTTTCCTGGTCCTGATTACTTTACTCTGTACCACTTATTACAGTCTTCATGTGTTTCTCTGACTCCTTCATCATTTCTTACCAATCATATTCTGTTATGATTATATACTATTTGAGCTACCATTGTTAAGGGTAACCAGTGATGCAGGTGACCTCACGAAAGAGGATTTTTTTTTTCTCCCAAAAGTTATCAGTGCCTGATCACAAGTAGGAGTGATTGGAGACTTGGGCATCATCTCACACATACTACTATATTAGATGCTACAACATTGCTAATGGAAATTATGAATGCGAGGGTTTGATTTGAGTATCACTTAAAGCTTTGTGGCCTTGAATTTCAGTTACAATAATCTCTCCTGGTTATTGTATTCTAAAATGAGCACCTTTCTATCATATAGTTTATTTTTCAAAAATAAGTAATTTGGCACTGAAAAAAATGTTTGTTACCTCCTCTACTATAATCCCCTCATTTCCTTCTCCTATAGCCCTTATTTAAAATAAGGAGCTTGCCATGATTTTAGAAACAGATGCAAGGTCAGAGTTTTACTCCCTGTGGTGGGTGAGGTATTTCTTTTGTAAAGAAAGTATACCTGGAAAGGTAAAAATCCGTGTCTGAGAGTTAAATGCCATGTTCATTCCAGTCACCAGGGTAACGGAGTTGACCCTCACTATTGTTTTGGGAAGTGGATGGGAGTGCAAGGCCAGGGAACTTGGTGTTTTGAATACCAAATGGAGGAGTGACAGGTCGAGAATTGGTATCTTAACTCACAGATGATCAAGGGAGCCTCACTAAAATTTTGTCCAAAGTTGGTGTGAGCAATCTGATCAGTGTCAGAAGCTGCTGTTGCTCTAAGTTCTTATTTTTCAGTATGGATGCTGAGTAACAGCTTGCAGCCTGTTTCATGTTTCACCAGCAAAAGGAGAATTCTATGCAAATTTATGAGCTCTAATCTAAATTGTTTCCCGTTTTTGTGAGTTGTGACAGCTGTATCATTCTTAAAAGCTATTTAGTATTGCAACTGGCTGCTACTTAGCATTACAAATGACTCAGGAATAATAATAATAATAAAAAAAAAAACCATGGAAGAGAGGGAAATACAGTACTTGTATTTACTGGTTCCAAGTTTTTTTTGTTGTGTGAAAACAGCTGGTTTGCATTCATGTTTTATGATGTTTTAAAATAGTTGACTTTTAATTAATAAGCATTTAGCACTTTGTGCTATCATAAAGGAAAATATTTTGAAATGCCTGTTATTATTAATATTATTTCGAGGCAGAATGGTGTCATGGATAGAGGGCTGACCTTGGGGTTAGGAAGACATTTGTTCAAGTTTGCCTCTGTATGTTAGTTGAGTGGCCGTGGGCTGATAAATCACTTAGCCTCTCAGTGATACTTTAAGGTGTAGATGAGTTGTTCACCTGCCTAGGTGGAGGGAGTTTCCACACCAGAGCTCCCTATACCCATGAAATAATAGGTCCAAACTCCTCCCATTCCCAGATTGCTGTTATTGTTGATGTTGTTACAGTCAGAGTCGACTTACTTTTCTATATTGGGGAGGATCACTAGGGGAACTCTCGAGGAGCCCTT